CTCAGGCGGTCAAGCACCCGACCTCGGCTTAGGTCATGATCTCACAGTTTGTGGGTTCGAGCCCCGCGTTGGGCTCCGCGCTGACAGTTCAGAGCCTGGAGCCTGCTTCGGATTCTGTGTGTGTGTGTGTGTGTGTGTGTGTGTGTGTGTGTGTGTGTGTGTGTCTTTCTCTCTGCCCCTCTTCCACTTGTGTTCTCTCTCTCTCTCTCTCAAAAAAAAAAAAAGGACAGTGACAAGTGTTGGCGAGGACATAGAGAAATCGAAACCCTTGTATACCATTAGTGGGAAGATAAAATGGCACAGCCACTTTGGAAAACGATTGAGCAGTTTCCTCAAAAAGCTAAACATGGAGTTCGTATATGCCCAGCAATGGCACTCCCGGGTATACCCACGAGAAATAAAGACCTACGGCCACATGAAAATGTGTACACAAATGTTCACAGAAACGTTGTTCACGATGGCCAAAAAAGGGGCCACCCAAATGTCCATCAGCTAACGAGTGGCTAGACAAAATGTGGTCTGTTCATACTGGAATATTATCCGGTCATAAAAAAAGGAAGGAAGTACTGATATACTGAGACATGCTACAACGTGGATTAACCTTGGCAATATTATGCTAAGTGAAAGAAGCCAGATACCAAAGGCTATTGTATGATTCTGTTTATATGAAATGTCCAGGATAGGTGAATTCACAGACACAGACTTCTCCATGCAGAGGGTAGATTCGTGTTTGCCTGGGGCTGGGGAGAGGGAGAATGGGGCGTGACTGCTAATGGATATGGAGAGATTAAGAATGTTCTGGAATTAGGTAGCCATGATGTTTGCACGACTCCGCGAATATGCTAAAGGCCACTGAAGTGTATGCTTTAAAAGGGTGAATTTTACGCTTTGTAATTTATAGCTCAGTAATAATTTCTTCAAAGATCTGGTTGTGTAGATTAGAGGGGCCGCCCTGGCCCGGGGAAAGAGACAGAAGACTTGGGCACTGACGCAGGTGGGCAGGTGGGTGTGGTGTGGGCGACTGTGGGCATTCTCTCTGGGTGGCTTCTCTTTTCTCAGAGACCCAGGAAGAGAGGCCATCGGCCAAGAGTGAAGAGGGGGGCTCCAGCAAGAGAGAAGGCTCAAAATGACTGCCTAGGAGACAGAGAGAAACTGAACGGACTGGGAACATTTAGTAGGATTGCAGGGCAGCACTGAGGTCCACGTGAGGGAGGCAGAGGAACCCGAAGTGTGCTGGGGTGGGGGTGGGGGTGGGGGTGGGGGTGTCCCACCCCATGTGTTCCCCCAGCATTGACAGTGCGGAGACCTGGGCTACAGGCACTGTGCTCCCCACGCGACATGGCTCTGGTCCCTGAACACGCACGTACATACACGGGGGTTTGCATCAACAAACACTAAAGATGCCCACACGTTCGCCCTCACAATTTTAAATGCACATTCCCCTTCAGTCTGCCACTCCTCTAGGGGCACATGGCCTCAGAAACAGCCGCAGGTAGATGCAAGATGTATGTATGATGATGTTTCAGGCAGCATTATTAGTAATAGCAAAAAATTGGAAACCACCCGCATGTCCATTACTGGGGAAGCAGTGAAATAAATTCTGGTCCGCCGTGTTGCCGCGATAGAGACAACGGAGGAGCCCATACGTGTAACATGGAAGGATTTCTGAGACGCTTGGTTAAGTGGAAAAAGTCAAGTTGCGGAATAATGTGTGTGATATTATGTAACTGTCTTCTCTTTTTTGTGTGTGAACAAAAATGGTATTTATGTGTGCGTATTTACGTTATTACAATACAGAAAAGGTCTAGAAAGGATGCAGTTTAGACTGTTAGTTGTGTTTAGTCCTGAGGAGTAGGTTTTGGGAAAGGAGTTGAGGGGAGTTAAGGGGTTGAAAGGGTTGTAGAGGGGACTTTCACTGTTTATTTTATATGTTCCTATCTTTTTTTTAAATTTGTGACATGAAGCATAGGTGCTTTTTTTTTTTCTTTTTAAATTTTAGAGAGAGAGATCGCAAGCAAGAGAGGGGCAGAGAGAGAGGAAGAGAGAAAATCTCAAGCCCCAACACGGGACTTGATCTCACAACTCTGGGATCATGACCTGAGGCAAAATCAAGAGTCCAACTCAACCGACTGAGCCCCCCAGGCCCCTAAACGCTTTTGCAATGTAAAAAGAATCACTGTGGCTCCCTCCCCCACTCATAGGTCCACTCCTCCCCAGGCCAGCGTCCTGCCAGCCCAGGCAATTCTGTGTCCCTGGAGGCAGTGGCCAGTCCCACCAGAGCATGGCCGGGTCCTGAACAGCTTTCCCTGTGCCCGGCCCTCCCCACCTCGAGGCAGGGGAGAGCAAGCAGGCAGGGGAGAGCAGGAAACACCTCCCCTTCCCACCCTGCCCTCTTCTCCTCCACAGCTGTTCCTCTCCGGCCACTTTCCAGGGAGGAAGGTATCTATCTCATCAATGCACCAAACAAAAGGCACCAAAGGCCAGGGAGGCTGCCACCATAACGGTAATAGCAAGTGCCTATATAGCATTTACTGTATACCAGGCACTATTCTAAACAGTCCACATAGGAACTCAGAACAACCCGATGGATTCCGTACTACGGCGCCCTTCCCTTCATAGCAGTTTTTAAACAAGCAAACAAGAAGGCTGCACAAAAGGCTAAATCCTCGGCCCCAGGTGCCACAGCCCCCAGGTGGAATCACACGCTGACCCTGGGGAACTGCCACCACCCTGGGAATCCACAGTCCAGGCCGGCCTCCTCCTCCTCCTGCTTCACTCCCTCCCCCCAGCCCCCGAAGCTCTGGGTCCTGGGACGTTCTGAGAGGGCCATATGCCCTCCGCCAGGGCAAGGCTGTGGCTTTCTCAACCCAGACGCCAGCATTTACGCACGCGTGGCACATTGCTGGTGCCCATCTCGTGCACAGGGAGTGCTCAACGTGCATTTGCTGAATTAATTGCTCTGTGCTCCCCCACCCCCACCCCACAGCGTCCCCTTGGGCCTTGCCCTCTGAGCCTTGGTTTCCTCATCTATCAAATGAGCAGGTGCACTAGATGGCGTCTGACAACAACTTTGGGACCAGCATTAAGGTGTTGCTAAGAGAAGCCAGCGCTTATCCCAAGAGGACGACTCAAACGGTGGGACGCGAGGATCAGGATGGGAAGGTCGGACATCTTACATGATGCCTTCCCTCCTGGGCGTTCAGGCCAACTGGGAACGTGGGTTTCACCCAACCACAAGTGTAGACAGGCACCTCACCTGACATTCTCCTATCTAACAAGACTCAAGCTCCTCTAGGAGACAACTGCCTCGCACAGGCCCAGGCACTGGTCCACGGGCTCTGCAGGGGACACCCCTGCCCAGCCGGGTGCCAGGGAAACCAGGAAGCTTCTCCTGTCCCCTGAGTTGAAAATCGTGGCACCCAGGTGGCCACCACAGGTGAAGGAGAGCGCACATCAATTCGGGCCACAGGTGGTAGCTCCGTGGGGCACAGCTGGCCAGGTGAGTCTATCTCTGATTCACAGACACAGGGGAGGTTGAGGTCCAAAGCAGGGTCTCCCGAAGTCTCCATGGGCTGCGCCAGCCAGAGGAAACCCTCTTCCAGTCCTTGTTTACCCAGATTGGAAAGTGCCAGGGCAACCTCAGGGAACAAAGAAGGAGGGGAGCTAACCCTATGTGTCAGGCACTTTCACACATCAGTTCACAGGTGCCCCGCATGGTACCGACACCCTTTCTTCACAGATGAGGACACTGAGGCCCAGAGAAGCCAGTGACAGGGCCTACGTCCCCAGCTGGAGCCTAAACTCACATCCTGAAGGCCAAATCCCACGCCTCTCCACACTGTTCCATCAGCTTTCGGTGAGCAAGGGATTCTGGGCTGGGACTCGAATGGAGCCCCAGCCCTGGCCTTCCAGCCTCAGCTCTGGAGCCAACCCTCAGTTCTGAGGAGTGGCCTCGGGTCCGTCCAAGGAGTCCTGGGCCAGATCCCAACGGTGGGCTCACTCAGTTCCAGAGCTTCCACCTCCAAGTCCTGCATGGCCCCCATCATTTATAACCGGTCCACTCATTTCTCAACAGAGCCTCCTAGCAAAGCGAGAATATCACTCAGCATCACACAGTCAGACAACAGCAGGTCTCGGCCTTCAAAGGAGGTCCAGGTGACCCAGCAAAAAATAAGGGGGGTGGGCCTCTTGCCCTCACATGCACCAGAGGTCACCCTTCGAGTATTTCCTTTTCCCTTCCCTGGGGCATATTCTGGAGCTCTGTGTGCGTGCGCTGGGCCCTGATCCCCTCACAAAGTGCCGGGCAGGCCCAAGGTCCCTGGCACAACTCCAGGCTGCCGGCAGACCCATGACCAATGTGTGGACATCAGGAAAGCTGTCCCTCCCGCCTGCTTCATGCCACACAGCCACCTTGAGATACGTCAACTCCCCCATACAGGGCTCGGGCTAGAAGTGCCCCTGGCCCTCACCCTCCCCTACTGCACCCCTCCTCCGCAGTCCTGGGCTGCTTACAGGTAGCCCCATCCCCCTGGGCTGCCAGCTGAGCGGATCCAACAGACAGATGAACAGGCAGCCTTTCCCCAGCTGCCTCCTGGGGCCTGTTTCTGGGCCAGAGGCCAGACAGGAGCTTTTCCTGGAACCTCTAGGGCACAGAGATGCTGAGAAACCAGGGGGAGGGAAGAACTGGACAGGAAGAGGCAGAACAAGTGGAGGTGGGGAGAGGGTGTTACCCGACCCATGTGGGCCATCCATGTCCCCCCTCCTCCCCAGCCTTCCTGGCAAGTTGCTACCTCCCTGTCCATGGACAGGAAAAACGCCCACCACCCCTCCCTGGAAAGCCACCCGAATTCTGAGGCCTGATTCGGTTCTACCCCCTTGGAGCTCTGTGCCTGCTGCAGGCTGGCAGGGGCTCCTAGAATTCCTGTAGCAGCCCTGCAGCCTCAGACTAACTCAGATGTGGGTCAGAGATGAGATCCCCACCCTGTCCTGTCTCCCGGAGGCCAGTTCCAAGCTTGTCAGACAAAATCACAGAGTATCCAGGGAGCACTGCAAGCCATTAAAGGGATTGGTTAGGGAGCTGTATCTGAGTGTGTGTGTGTGTGTGTGTGTGTGTGTGTGTGTGTGTGTGTGTGGTGGGCCTGACCTCCCTCTCTACTGCCCAGGGGTGGGCAAGTCCCTTTCCCCTCAGAGCAGCCCAAACAAAGCAGGGCTCTTGCCAGAGCCTTCTAGGGCACCAAGTGGAGAGGAGGTCACAGGGACAGGACAGAGGCCCTCTGTGAGCTCTTGATCCTGCCAGGTCAGACCCCCGCTCTGACCCCAACTGCCATGACTGTCCAAGCCCAGCTGCTGAGGAGGGATTGGGGCAGAGGGGCCTCGCAGACCTGCCTCAACTCCTTCCTGCCTTGCAGATGCCCCATCCCTCTCCCAGGGCCCTGGCCCCTCTCCTAGGGCAAAAGGGCAGCCTCCGACAGCCTCCCTGGAGGACTGGAACCTTCTGTGGTTCATTCACTGCCAGCCGACCTGGCTACTTTCACCTACCACACAGCTCGGAGCTCTCCCCAAAACATGAGGCCTCAAAGTCTGACCTACAGTCTATCACTCACCTGCAGGAATCTCCAAGCTCTTGCAGCTGCAAGTTTTCAGGCTGAGGGCCCCCAAAGGCCCTCTGTCCACTTGCAGAAACTGGAGCAGAGCCACGTCTCCACAGACCAGCATGCGAGCTCCCCTGGTCAGCTCAGAGGCACCCTGCCACCTTCCTGGGCCCCTGGGAGCCCGAGGCAACTTGCCATCCATCCATCTAACAAACACACATTCCCTGATAGTGCCAGGCCTTAGGGATCCTGAGAGGGACCCATTTTGTCCTTCTTCTTCCTCCCAGGGTAAGAAGGAATCTCAGAAAAGGAGCGGTTTCCAAAGATTATTCTAAGACAGTGCTGACCAATGGAACTTGCTGTCATGATGCTAATGTTCCATATCTGCACTGTTCAGTACATCAGTAGCCCCTAACCACAGTGAACACTGAGCATCTGAAATGTGGCTATGTGGGACAGTTGGTTAAGCGTCTGACTTTGGCTCGGGTCATGATCTCACGGTTCGTGAGTTTAAGCCCCGCGGTGGACTGTGCTCACAGCTCAGAGCCTGGACCCTCTTCGGATTCTGTGTCTCCTTTCCTCTCTCTGCCCCTCCCCCATTCTCTCTCTCCCTCTCTCTCTCTCTCACTCAAAAATAAATAAACATTTAAAAAAATGAAATGTGGCTAACGTGACTGAGGAACTGAATTTCTAATTTTCCTTAAGTTTATTTATTTAAATGTAACTGGGGCGCCTGGGTGGCTCAGTCGGTTGAGCGTCCGACTTTGGCTCAGGTCATGATCTCGCGGTCCATGAGTTCGAGCCCCGCGTCAGGCTCTGTGCTGACCACTCAGAGCCTGGAGCCTGTTTCAGATTCTGTGTCTCCCTCTCTCTGACCCTCCCCCGTTCATGCTCTGTCTCTCTCTGTCTCAAAAATAAATAAACGTTAAAAAAAAATTTAAATGTAACCAACTAACAGCTACTATATTGGATTGGACAGCACAGTCCTAGGAGCTATGGGAGCATAGAGGGGTAAGGGGAGGCTTCAGGGAGGAGACAACATTTGGTGGGGCCAGGTGGAACTCCAGAATGTTCTTTCAACAAGTATTTACTGACAGCCAAAAAGGGCCAAACATTGATGATACAGCAATAGACACACAAGTTGGGAAGTGAAACTAAAACCAGGTAATAATGGGAACCAAGTGTAGGGTACTGCATAAAGGAGGACCCCATCTCAGACAGTATAAATCAGGGAAGACTTCCTAGAGAAAGTAGTTTCTAAGCTGAGGCCTAGGGGAAGACTATTCCAAAAAGGAAAAAATCACTTGTGCAAAGGCCCTGAGGCAACAGAAAGCCTGGTGAGGATTATGGAGAATAGGAAAGCTCTCACACAGGCAGCAGCCAGAATGGCCCCACAGCACAGCTCCACACTGGTGGCCAACCAACTCACTCATCATTCTTCTCAGATGTCCACTGGAATGCACCCAGCCCCAGCCAGCCCCTTGAGCATATTTTGGAAAATCCTGCCACAGTCTCCAGCCTGACCAAAGGCTCCTCTGACCTCCTGCATCCTCTCTGAGGTCACTACTGGGTGGGGCCTGAGCCCTGATCCCTCCAGGAATTCCTGACTCATCACGGAAAAAACTGAAAAGCCCAGATTTTCTCAAGAATCAGTCCAACATTAAAGGGGGAGGGCAGCTGTGACCCCAGCTCCCGGACACAGGGACAGAGCGGGGGAGGGCAAGGAGCAAATCAGAGACAGAAGAAGATGCAGAAACAGAGACCTGGGCAGAAAGTGAGCCGGAGACTGATAGTAAGTCTACAGAGACAGGAGGTGGTGCTCACAGACACAGGGACAGGCAGCCCAAGCCAGCAGGACAGATAGACAGAGATACACCCACCAGTGACGGCTAACACAAGCCAAAAACAAAGGGCCACTCTTAGGTACACACAGCTGGAGACAGACTGACAGGCTTCCACAGACAGCCAAGGACTAGAGGCAGCCTGTGGACCTGGACGACGGTGGGGCCGGCGCCCCTGGGCACAACCACTGGCTGCACTCTCAGAGCAAGCCATGAGGGGGCGGTGTTGCCCCAGGCACCGCCCACGAGCCAGGAGTCCAGCTTCTCCAAAATGGTCCATGTCAGACTCCCTCCGTCAGAGGCAGCAGACAGGGCATCGGGCTTACTGAAAAGGTGTAAGAGACTTGGATGGGGGACCCAGCGCATGCACACCCTAGCCTGGAGACCCTCCCCTCCTCAACCCAGCATATCCTCAAACCTGCCCCTTCCCTCCCATTCCCCATCTCCAGCCACATCCTCCCTTTCGAGACACCTGCAGAGGAAGCCCAGAGCACCGAAGGGCGGGGCCGGGGGCGCCTGCCGATTTGATTTCCCTGCTCTTGGGGGCACAAACAGATGCTAGGTCTGAGGACCACCCTCAGTTCCTGCCGCAGGGCCTGGTCCCCTCCTCTCCATCTTTCCCAGGAGGCTCTTGGTTTCAAAGCCTCCCTCACATAGATCCAGAGATCTTGGCTGAGCCCGTGCCTGTGAGCAGCCAGCAGGGCTAAAAATACAAGGGGATCCTTCAGCTGCAGTAGCAGAAACTAACATCTGGTACGGTGCTGCAGTCAGCGACAAAGCAGTCCAAGCCTCTGCTCACACCTTTGGAAGGGCCGTTCATAAATCAACGTGACCGAGGAGGAAGGCCACTGCGGAACCACGCCACGTACGAGAACTCTCGATGAGCACCAACACTGTGTCAAACACTGTAGATACTTCGTCTTACCCAATCCTTACAGCAACTCAAATCGTTATGCCCATTTTACAGACAAGAAAGCTCAGAGAAGCTCCCCCTCTGATGATCATTCTGTAGGTGTGGGTATTTCTCAAAGCTCCGTTTCAGGCTTCTCCTCCTCTCCCTGGATGCACATTTCCTGAGCAGCAACATCCATTCCCATGACTCAGCCTGAATTCTCAAACTAAGCCTTTTGCCTCAATCTTTCTCCTCGGTTCCAGACCAGCCTATCCACTTCCTTCTACTCATCTCCTGGATGTCTTCAGGGACCTAACATTGTACATGCCCAACGATGACCCCTGATCTCCATGCCGTGAGTGAACATGGCACACACCCAGCGGCCCTCAGTCAGCCTCCACCACTCCCACCCCAGCCAAGCTCCACGGGGCCTGTTGACTCTGCCCCTGCACCCAAGGGCCAGCGCCACTCTCCAGCCCGGGCCCACCGCCCTCCTTCCCGTCCGCCCATCTCGCATTCCCAGCTGCTCTCTGTTGTTGCTCCTGTCCACACCACAGCCAGACCGGCCTTTTCAAAACCTAAGTGGAGGGGCGCCTGCGTGGCTCACTCGGCTAGGGATCTCGGCTCAGGTCATGATCTCATGGTTCCTGACATTGAGCCCTGCGTCGGGCTTTGAGCCGAACGTGGAGTCTGCTTGGGATTTTCTCTCCCTCTGCCCCTCCCCTGCTCGCTCTTGCTCTCTCTGTCTCTCTAAATAAATAAATAAATAAATGAATGAATGAATGAATGGATGGATGGATTCGCATCACTCCCCCACCCAAACCCCTCCAGTGGCTTTATACCACCCTCAGGGCAAAGTTCAAGGCCTTTGCTGTGGTCTCAGCAGCTGTAATGACCAGCCTCCTGGGAACTCCAGTGTCTGCCTAAACCACGGATAGTACTGAACCCTATACAGGCTGTTTTCCTATACATACACACCTATGATAAAGTTTCGTTTATTAGGTACAGTAAGAGATGAACAACCACAATAAACTAGAACTTCAACACGTTGTCATAAAAAGTATGTGAATGTGGTCTCTTTCTCTCCAAATACCTTATTGCAGCATACACACCCTTCTTGCGTTTTTGTTTTTTTTTTATAAAATGCATTTATTTATTTTCAGAGAGAGAAAGAGAGAAAGCATGAGTCAGGGAGGGGCAGAGAGAGAGGGAGAGAGACAGAATCCCGAGCAGGCTCCATGCTGTCAGCACAGAGCCTGATGCGGGGCTCGAACCGACGAACCATGATGAGATCATGACCTGAGCTGAAATCAAGGGTCAGGCGCTTAACCAGCTGAGCCACCCAGGCGCCCCACACACCCTTGTGATGATGATGGGAGAGGATAAAATGCTCACGTGATGAGGTTGACAGGTGAATGACGTGAGCACTGTGAGGTAACCTTAGGCTATTGACCTTCTGACAACACATCATCTGCTTCCTGATCACAGCTGACATCAGCAACTGAGACCTCGGATAAGGAGTGACTACTGAACAGTTCTCTCCCTGCCCCCAGGAAGGCGTCCCTCTCCCCTCCTCCCCCAGATCCACTTGCTCTAGCACCCAGCCCTGGCATCCTGGTCTGAGGAGCCTTAGGCCGGAAGTCCTGTCTTTGACTTGTTTTATGGCCTTGCACTTCCCCTCTCAGGGCCTCATCTCCCCTTCAGTGAAAAGAAGTGGGTCAACCGTGACCTGAGGTCTCTTCTGAGACTCTGAGGTCTCTTCCAGCTGTTAGATCCTGTATTTGTTTGCCGGGGCTGCTCTAATCAGTACCAGGGACTGGGGCTGCTTCAAGAGAAATTTAGTTCCTCACAGGTCTTCTCGTTTTACCTTGACCACATCTATAAAGGCCCTATCTCCAAACACAATCACATTCCCTGGTACAGGGGTGAGGAGCTCATCATAGGAAATTTTAGGCGGACACAATTCAAACCATAACAGATCCCAAAGAGGCGATGTCGTTACCCTCACTGAGTCTCAGGGCAATGGTGAGGGACTACTAAGATCCAATGTCTAACGCTGAGCACATGACTGGTATGCAATAACAGTAGCTGTCATAATCGGTCGCTGATGGTGATTGCCAATGACGATGGCAATGACATTGGGCCAGGTCTCTGGATTGGCCTAACCACAGTAATGGTGCCCTTACTTGTGTGCCTCTGGGGAAAGCTTTGTGTGAAGGTTTATGTGTGCATCCTGGGTCTCCTATGTTTACCATCCCTCCGGTCAGGTGAGGAGCTCGCAGAGGGCAGCCCCCAGGCTCTGGCCTCACGCTTCCGACCACGTGTGCCCAGCATCCCCCATACAGGGGTGATCACTGACCCACTCCCAGGCACAGTGGTGGTGGCAGTCAAGCAGGGCAGGTGATGTGTTCCAGGAAGAGGGATGAGTTCAGAGGACTGCAAGAAACCAAAAGGTCTGGGTACGGAGCATCCAGGGAAGGGAGGGCCCTGGAGGTCGTAGGAGGGGTTTGCATTTTTTCCTGACAGCAACGGGGCCCCATTGATGGGTTTTCAGCAGGGAGAGGTGTGATCCGAGAAGCAGATGGGAGAGGTCGGGATGGGGTGGGGCAGGACCAGAGGAGACAGCACCCGCCCTGGGAGCTCCAGGGAGGAGTGTCCAGGAGAGAAGTGAGGGGGTGTGGAGACGCAGGCACAGCAGGGAGAAGAGGGGCCGCTGGATCTGTGAGACGCTGAGGAGGAAAAGGTTCGGGCTCGGTGACGGATGGAAAGAGGACGGGGGAGGAAGGGAAGTACCATGGGCGATTCCAGGTCAGACAGGAATTGAGTGTTGAGATGAGGGAAGGCTGGCAGTGGGACAGGTAGGGGAAGAAAATCAGGAATTGAGTTTTGGACACACCTCGTATGAGATCCCTGTGAGATATCCAAGGGGAAGTGTCGGGCAGGCGGGCGGCTGCATGGGACGTCTGGAATGCTCAAGTGATTTCTAGGCGGGACTTCACACCCAGGTAAAGACCATGAAATGTCAGTGAAGGAGACTGGCCCACTGCCCAAGGGTATGCTTTCTCCAGCAGTGCTCAGGGGCCAGCACGGGCCAGAGGGCAGCTGAGTCCACAGGGCTGCCCACCCCACCCCCAGCCCCTTCTGTTCGGTCTGCCTTCCTTAGGGGTGAGCGATCAAGGGACGGAGTGGCTTTCCTGTGTCCCGCTCCACACAGGGCAGACCGTGGCCTCAGTGGGCCAAGTAGAAGGGTGTCCACAGGTGGGAGTCAATGCCTTGGGGGGAAGGGTCTCCATGGGTACTACTGGGGACCACTCACTTCGGTCCCTTCCCTCCTCCCCCCACCCCACCCCCCACACACACACCCAGGACTGTGGTCCACTCTCAGAGTGCCATTGTCCCTGGGAAGTAGAAAACAGCCCAGAGAGGGAGGGAGGGAAGGGGGTTTTGGAGCACAAGCGTGAGAAGGGAGAGAAAAGCAAGCCTGAGGAACAGCGAGCTGGTTGGAAAGGATTCCTGCCCCAAGGCAATCTAGGCCTGGGGGTTGGCTCAGCAGGAGCAGCAAAAGGGCAAAGTGGTAAAAGGCAGTTTAGAGTTCAGCAAGAGGATGGTAGAAATGATGTAACCCCAGCAGATTAGAAAGGAAAATGAACACAGGAGGGGATTAAAAAGAAAACAGAAGTCCTAACGACATTTTTTAACAAACTCTTGGGGGCGCCCGGGTGGCTCAGTCGGCTAAGTGTCCAACTCTTGGTTTTGACCCAGGTCATGGTCTCCTGGTTCATGGGTTTGAGCCGAGTCAGGACGGGGAGGGGCCTCGGAGCTGACAGGGCAGGGCATGTTTGGGATTCTCTCTCTCT